ACCCAGGTTTGTTTGATGGCAGAGTTCTGAGAGCCTTTGGGATTCTCCAAGCCCCTGGGAGAAACTTCACTCTTACTGTTTTCAGTGCTTCTCTGGAAAAGACAGCATGGTGACAGTTCCCCAGCCTCCCGCGTCTCCTGAAAGAAGGGAGAAGAAAGGCTCCCTGTGAGGTTAACCTCCTCCTCCACTTTTCTTCAGGGGACTCCAGGTGGCAACCCCACAGGGATTTCCCTCAAGATGCTCCAGGACTAACAAGCATCTGTCCTTGTTCTCCTGAATTTATCTCAAGTGATTGTTACTCTTCCCCCCAGCTTCTCTCACCACATGGACGGACCATTCTACAGAGGATACAGACCTTGAGGAGGACCAAGGGGTGGTGTCCTCTTTGGTTTAGTTGGTGGAGAATCAGGAGTGCTGTCTTGGAGATGTTGGGCACATCCCAGGTGGGGGAGGGGAGTGCATGAAGGCTAAGGTGTCCAGCTTTGGGTGCTGCCCTTGAGCCACGCCCTTCCGAACCCTTGATGGGGTATGTTTTAGGGCCCAACACCATTGGAACCATGAATGAGCCCTGTTCTCAGCGCTCACTCAGCCACAGTGGGTTCTGCACTGGGCTGGAGGCAGGTGGAGAGGGAAGGGGCTGGTGTGTTGTAGGGTGAGTGAGTTAGGAAGAAGTCCTCCGTGTGCTCCTAACTCACTCACCCTACACAGTGGACTTAAGGTGAGAGAGGGGTGGCTTACATGAGGAGGGAAGGAGAGGAAAGGACGCCAAGGAGCGGTGGGTGTAAGGGAACCAGGGATGAGACAGTGGGCTGTAAAGGAAGGGGAGATACAGTAGGGTGTTATGTGAAGAGTAGAGTGGTTTGGGAGTCTCAGGGACACCGTCCCACCTCCTGGTTGTGTGACCTTAGGACCTCCACTCCTCCAGGATGTTTCATCTGTAAAGTGCGGGTAATCATTATTCCTAACTCAGAGGGTTACTGTAATAATTAAATAAAACAATGCATTTTGAGCACAAAACTAAGGTCTTGGCATGAAGTGAAGTGAAAGTCACTCAGGCGTGTCTGACTTTTTGTGACACCATGGACTATAGTACAGTCCATGGAATTCTCCAGGCAAGAGAATTTTTCCTGTCTCCAGTCCCGACCCAGGGATCAAACCTAGGTCTCCCACATTGCAGGCAAATTCTTTACCAGCTGAGCTACCGGGAAGCCCAATTGCATAGAAAGTATTTTTACAGTGTGTTCACGCACTTCTCCCTGTGTCTGAGGTTTTCTCATTTTCCTCCTTTAGGTTTTCCTAACCCCCTAAAAGGTAAACTTCTGGACACAGGGTGGTCTCTGGATTTCCCACACGTAGCTGCCATTACATTGGCCACCCAGTCATGGGGGGATCCTGTGAAAATAGCAGTGGCTGCAGACGTCCTTAAACTTCCTGTTCGTATCAGCTTCTGCTCATTCCTCCTCTGCCTGCAACATCTCCAGAATCTAATCTCTGCACTGTGCAGCATGTGGGATCTTAGTTCCCCAACTCGAGATCAAACCAGAGCCCCCTGCGTTGGAAGCACGGAGTCTTAACCACTGGACCGCCAGGGGAGTCCTCCTGAATCTGTTCTTGCCTCTCTGTTCTCGTGGAAACCCTGTGGATACTTTCAGTGTAGGGAAACAGTCCACTGGAGCTTAAACGATGGAGGGTCCACACTGGAGAAAATTCATTTCCATCTGCCTCTGCATGCACACCTCCTGGATCAACCCCCTCACCTGTCTTTCTTTCTCCTTAGACTCTTCTCCACCTCATTTCCCTGTAGTGTTTCCCACAGAGTGTGTCAGGGTGGGCTGAACTTCCCTCAAGAACCTCCAGGGACTGTCTAGTGCCCAATAAATTAATGGCCAGTGCCTTCCCCTGTATTCTTCCATCTTGAATAATAACTATCGTTGACTTGTTCTTTGGTCCACGCTCGATAGTAAACTACTTCACAGCAAGGTTCCACTGTTCATTTTGTTGTTGGGTCGCTAAGTCACATCCAACTCTTTGTGACCCATGGACTGTAGCCTGCCAGGCTCTTCTGTTCATGGGATTCTCCAGGCAAGAATACTGCAGTGTGGAGAAGGAAATGGCAACCCACACCAGTATTCTCGCCTGGAGAATCCCATGGACAGAGGAGCCTGGCAGGCTACAGTCCATGGGATCGAATTAAAGAAAAAAAAAAAAGAATACTGGAGTGGGTTGCCCTTTCCTCCTCCAGAGGATCTTCCCGACCCAGGGATCAAACTTATATCTTCTGTATTGGTCAGGGGGATTCTTTACCACTGGGCCACGGGGAAGCCCAATTGTTCATTACAGCAGTAATTAACACAACATTGTCATTCAACTGTACTTCAATAAAAAATAAATTAAAAAAGAAAAATGATTCAACTGTTCATCATTTCAACAAATATTTATTAGGAACTTCTTTGGTGCCAGACACTGTTCTGTATGCTGGGGATACATCAGAGAACCAAAGATCCCTGCCCCTAGGGAGCTTACATTCTACTCGGAGGGGGGGGGGCGGTGAAGAGGAGACAGACAATAAACTGTAAAAGTTATAATTAATAAATAAATAAGTAACTTATATAGTAAGTTAGAAAATATTTGCTATGTGAGCTTTAATTGCTTTGGAATTCATCCACTTATCTGCATAATAAAAATACTCAAATAGAGAACTCCCTGGCAGTGCGGTGGTTAAGACTCCATGCTTTTGCTGCCAAGGACATGGGTTCAATCCCTGGTTGGAGAACTAAGATCCTGTAAGCCATGCAATGTGGCCAAAGCAAACAAACTCAAGTAATTTTTAAAAACTGTTGGGTTCAGTTTGGACAGGACAAAACGCTGAGACTTTGGATGACGATGACATTTGGTGCCCCCAAAGCTGGAAGGGCTGAACCCTAAGGACGGAGCAATGGATGGAGCAGGTGCTAACCTGCTAACCACCAGGCCTCTTCTGGAGCAGCAGAAGGCTGCTAACCTCAGACCAGACGGAGCAAAGCTGCGCTTCACGGCTCTCTGGGAGGATTATGGGTCAGTTCTCCGGTTTGGCCACCAGGGGTCATTTTACTCTTGTAAATCACTATCTGGAGGACTCAGGTAAAGACACAAAAGGCTTAGTCCGAACTAAAACACACAGTGGCACAGCCTGGGAAACTGACGGTCACACACATACACACACACATGCACACACACACAAACATACAGCACTGAGAGACATAGAAATGCATGCAGGACATGAGCATGTCACCAACTCCCTTGCTAATCTCACTAATAATGTCTTAGGCTGACATAGGGCTTCCCTGATGGCTCAGAGGTTAAAGCATCTGCCCACAATGCGGGAGACCTGGGTTCGATCCCTGGGTCGGGAATATCCCCTGGAGAAGGAAAGGGCAACCCACTCCAGTATTCTTGCCTGGAGAATCCCATGGATGGAGGAGCCTGGGGGGCTTCAGCCCACGGGGTTGCAAAGAGTCAGACACGACTGAGCAGCTTCACTTAGGATGACATAGTGCCAGCCCAGACTCCATTCAAGAAGGAAGGAGACAGTAGGTGGCTGGTAAATCAGACTTCCATTTCCTTACTTCCAGCTTGCTAAGAGCAGTCACCCTGTTCCTGCCCTTCTGTCCATCATTCATCAGATTTACTTCCGTGTAAACTTCTTGCCTGGCTCTTGTTCTGTTCCCTTTTCCTGCCCAGAGAAACCCCCACCCCACTTCCTCCTGAGTATTTGTGTAGCTAGTTCCACCCCCACCTCCCGCTGCAGCTCCAGGATCCCCAGATAGTGCTCCACTGGGGTAGAGCACCTACTCGCTTTGCCCCATCCCCACCCCCAGAAGCTGCAAGCCTTACAGACTACAACTGACAATTGACTTGAGCACTGCTCTTTCGTATATAATAGCCTGGGAAGAAGTTACACAAACTCTAATACTTCAGTACAGGTATGGTTCTAAAGCATGATCTCGGGATGGACTCTGAGAAAGTCTAAACTAGTTTCATAATCCTACTACTAATCTGTCACTTGTCCTTTTCACTCATTCTCTCACAAGGAGATGATGGAATTTCCCAGAGGCTTCGTAACACTGTTGCTGTCACAGCTATTGGAATGCGTGCTTGTGTATTTGTTTTTAAAGTTATTCTTTTTGATTTCTAGTATGGTTAAGTATCAAAAGAACAAAGTATAAGCAAAAGTTCTTTGGAATGTTCCATGTTTAAGAGTGTAAAAGGGTCTGAGAGGAACAAGTCTGAGAACTGTTATTTTAGTACAAGAATGTTCTCCTTATTGTATTATAGGTGAAGCAGCAGATGGAGCGCCAGGTGGAGGGGGAAGAACTGAGGACCTAGAATGGAGATCTTGAGGGGGGAAGAAGGCAAGACCTAGAAAGGGGAATAGGGACCAAGAACTTGGAGGGAAAACTCCTCTAACTCAATTTTTCCCTGCCCCCAATTAGCCATGCTGGGCGTCAGATTTAAATTGTTTCAAGTCACTAGACAAGAAGGAAACCAATTCAGTGAGCATCCAATACGCTTTCGTATTATTAATATTATGCCTCAGTGCTCGGCAGGCGGAGCAGCCTCCTAAGACTCCCTAGGTCTCCTGTGGTCGGTCTAAAGGCAGGACACCCATCTTCTGCTCCATCTACCAGCTGTGGGCCGCGTTTCCTGCCCGCCAAGGGCATTTCATCCAGCCTCCTGCCTCTGCACGGGCAGGTTCATAGCAACACTTTCTAGGGGCTGGGGAAGGGGTCCTCCCCGGCTCACCATCACCCCCGGTTAAAGACATTTCCAGCGGCGCTTCCTTCCGCGCGCCCCTGGGCCCCACACTTCGTTCTCTTCTGCATCCGGGAGTCGGAGCTGCCACTCCTAAGTCCCAGCGCCCACCCTACCGCCCCCTGGTGCACACCCCGGCGTGTCTGAGAGTGCCAGAGGCGCGGGAGCGGGGGCGAGGGGACCACGCTCTGGTACGAACGACTGTGCGTTCAGAAGGACGAATCCTCGTGGGACGGGGTGAAGGATGACCGGGGGTCGGAGGGCCGGAGCTGCCCCTGACTGGCGGCGGTCAGAGTAGAGGCGTGGGCCGTCTCGGTGAGCGGCTCGGCGAGCGCCTCCTGAGCCCCGTTGGCGGCCAAGGTCCTGCCCCGGAGCGGGGCGCTCAGGCCGCGCAGGGTGTTGCGGAAGCCCTCGGCACTGAAGTAGTACACGAGCGGGTCGAGCACGCAGTTGGCGCCGGCCAGCAGCACCGTGACCATCAGCACCCCGCGCACCTTCTTGCGCGCCTCCGAGCTGGCCGACACCACCTCGCCGCGTAGCAGTCCGTACACGGCCAGCGTGACGTTATAGGGCACGAAGCACAGCAGGAAGATGACCAGGCTCGCCAGCAGGAGGCGCACCGTCTTCCGCCGCCGCTGGCTCCGCGTGGCGTCGGGCCGCGCCAGGGTCCAGAAGACGCGGCCCGACGAGTAGACCACGGCCGCCAGGGGCAGCAGGAAGCCCAACGCCTCGGCCAGCAGCAAGAGCGGTAGTAGGCTGCCCTTCCACAGCTTGTCGCTGAAGCTCTCGAAGCACAGGAACACGTCGCGGCCGTCTCTGGTGCAGGACGAGGGCTGGTGCGCCAGGATGATGGGCACGGCGAAGACCAGGATGAGCGCCCACACGCCCAGGCAGAGCAGCCTCGCCACGCGGGGCCGCCGCAGGTGGCGCAGCCGCAGCGGGTGCACAATGGCGGCGTAGCGGTCCACGTTGATGAGCGTCAGGAAGATGCAGCTGCCGTACATGTTTATCTGGAAGACGGCGCCCGCCAGCTGGCACAGAAAGTCCGGGAAGGGCCAGTAGTGCCGCGCGTAGTAGGACAGGCGCAAGGGCAGCGAGAGGGTGAAGAGCAGGTCGCTGGCCGCCAGGTTGCACATGTACACGCATACCACCGAGTGCACGCGCAGCGCGCGCAGGAAGACCCAGAGGGCCAGGGCGTTGAGGGGGAGCCCGGCCGCCAGCACCAAGCTGTAGACCACCAGATGCAAATGATGGATGGGCTGGTAGTCCGGGCACTCGGCCTGAAGAGACTTGTTGGCCGAGGAGTTGGCTTGCATCGTGCCACTGTGCGCCAGGGAGCTAGGCTGGGGGCATCAGGGGGCGCACCCACATCCTAGCATCGGGTGCATCTCCAGTCTCCGGGGCCGGGGCCTGGGGGCTGCACAGAGAGCCCCAGAGCAAGCGGAGGTTCAGCATGGGCGTGTGGGTTGTGGTTGCAAGGCAGCCGGCTTGGGGGAAGGTGGGGAGCAGTGGGTTGCCTTTGGTCACAGCCTCATCGGCAGTGGAGACCTGGAACAGGAGGGAAGCCAGAAGTCAAGATAGTGCAAGGAAGGGCTGAAGACAGAAATGTTATGGATCTGAACTCCCTGACTTCTTGAGACCTTTTTCAGCCTCAGATCTTTCCCCTACCGTCCTTCTGTGCCCAGAACAGCTTTCTGCAGCTGGCTCCATGGCACAGTGTTAAATGCACAGGCATTTAACAGTCTGGAGTGAGTCAGACTTGCCTAGGTATAAATCTGTGCCTTTGTCCTCGTGTGCCTTAGCCACTTCCCTGGTGGTCCACTGACTAAGACTCAGAGCTCCCAACTCAGGGTTCAATCCCTGGTGAGGGAACTAGAGCCTACAGGCTGCAACCAAAAGTTTGCATGCCGCAACTAAGACCCTGCACAGCCAAATAAATATTTTTTTAAAAAAGGAAAGAAAACTGACTTAATATCTCTACCCCTCATTTTCCTTACCTGGAAAAAAAAAAGAAAGAAAGGAGGGGGTTCCTACTTCACAAGGTCGTTAGACCCAAGGAGTCAATATATATGAAATGCTTTGGTTACTGTTATTATCTGCTAATATCTCTCCTTTTCTTCCTTTCTTCTGCAAATGCTTCCTGGGACTTTAGAAAGTTTCAGGCATGTTCACAGTGGTGAACAAAGCAAAGGCCTTGCCCCCACCTATTTTCCATTCCACTGAAAGGAGACAGATGATAAAGAACTGGTAAATAGGTATTGGCTTCCTTGGGTGGATGGCTCAGGGGTAAAGAATCTACCTGCAGTGCAGAAGCCATAGCAGATGTGGTCCAATCGCTGGGTCCAGAAGATCCCCTGGAGAAAGTAATGGCAACCCACTCCAGTATTCTTGCCTGGGAAATCCCATGGACAGAGGAGCCTGGCAGGCTACAGTCCAGAGCATCACAAAGAGTTGGACATGACTGAATAACTAGCTGTTATGTCAGGTGGTGAGAACTGTGGAGCCCCTCCCCTGGCACCAGCCTGTTCTGCTTGTTCCCCATTATCTAAAGAATAAAGTTCAAACTCCCAAGTACAGGACGAAATCCCAGCCTCATCTCTGCTGTTGCTCCTGTGTGGGCTGGCTGTGTGGTCAGAGTGACCCGGTCCAGCTGGATGGTTCGACCTTGTTCACTCTCAGTTTCTTCCTTTGTAAAATGGGGACAGTAATAGAATGGGGGTCCCCCCCCAAAAAAAAGAATGGGTGTCCCATATGCTGATGGCACACCTCAGCACAGTCCTGCCAGATGGGGGAAGGCCCTATGCGTTGAACTTCTCTGGGTGCTTCCCTGCAGAGTCTGACTCGGGTGTTTCCTAGTGAGGATTCTATGATGGGGGGAGATGGTAGTTTGGTCCTAAGGGCTGGAAGGGGGCGCTTAGCCCATAGAGGGTGGCAATGAGGCCAGAAAATACTGTGGGCTCTGATAAGACTGCCAGAAAGGACAGACCACTGCCATCCTCAGGCAAAAGCTGGCAGACGAAGAGTGTGGCCAGAGGTAGCGGAGTCAGAAGACAGGACCTGGTCTCAAGTCCTTCTTTAATGCCAGAAGGCCACAGAAGCGACCCCTCCATTGTGATCCCCACATGCTGTTTATTTTGTGTGTGTTGCAAAATATACAGAACTTTAAAAAATTACCATTGCAACCATCTTTAAGAGTGCAGTTCAGTGACATTAAGTACAGTCTCAGCATTGTGTAACCATTGCCACTATTTCTGAAACTTTTTCATCATCCCAAACAACAACTTTATATCCATTAAGCAATAACTGCTCATCCCTGCTCTCTTCCTCTCCTGGCAACCTCTATTCTACTTTCTGTCTGTGTAAATTTGCCTGTTCTAGACCCCTCCTCTGAGTGGAAGCGTAGAATTTCCATCCTTTTCTGTCTAGGTTATTTCACTTAGCCTAAAGTTTTCAAGGTCCCTCCATGTTATAGACTGTATCAGAGTTACAGTCTTTTATGGCTGAATAATATTTTCCTGAGCTTCCCAGGTGGGTCAGTAGTAAAGAACCTGCCTGCCAAAACAGGAGATGCAGGTTCGATTCTTGAGTAGGGAAGATACCCTCCCTGGATGAGGAAATGGCAACCCACTGTAGTATTCTTGCCTGGGAAATCCCATGGACGGGGAGCCTGGTGGGCTATAGTCATGGGGTCTCAAAGAGCTGGACACGATTAAACACTAACAACAACAAATATTTTCCCATATAAACACCACATTTTGTTCATCTGTTCATTTGTTGATGGTTACTTGGGCTTTTCCATCTTTTGGATATTGTGGGTAATGATAATGAACATGGGTGGCCACATGCCGACCTAGGGATCTTAAGGAAAGAAGTTATCTGAAGACCCTGCGCCATTATCCCAAAATACTGAACCTACACCTTTCAGTAGGAACCACTTAAATCCTTACATGGAACAAAGTTGTAAACCTAATTGTCATACATTTTCTAGTGTGTTTTTCATTTGTTTGTTCTCCTTCCAACAAGCAGTTGTAGACTCCAGCAGTTTAAGACTTGTAAGAAGCACAGCACAAGAATAAAGAAACATTTCCCCTATGAAATACCAATTTCATCAATGAAAATAATGCTGGATAGGTCTTAAACGTGCGGAAAAGCAAGTAACACCAGGTTCTCTTCCTAAAATGTGTCCACCTCCCATGATCCTTTGCTCCAGTCATGCCAAACTAGTGATAATTCTGCAAATACATGACGTCTTCAGGGCTCTGCCTCTCGCGTGCTGTCTCTTCAACCTGGAATGCCCTTTCTCCCCTTCTCTGACTGGTAAACTCAGCCACTTCTCAGGGCCCCATGATGCCTTTCCTGACTCCTGTCCTCCCACCAGGCAGGCATAGTCCCCTCTCTGGTATCTCCCCAGCACTTTGGACACAGGTCAACCCTTCCTACTCAGGCTGTCATGAGCTGTTCTTGGTCTGCTCCTCCCACTCAACCGTGAACTCCTTGAGAGAGGGCCTGTGGACTGTGACTTACTCATCTTTGTAGCCCCGGCCCCTCCCTCCATAAATGTTGAGTCAAAAATAATAGCTGCCTTACTGATCACTCACCATCTCCCTGGGTGCCTTCTAAATGCAAGCTCTAATCCTCCCAGCAGCCCTTGGAGGTCAGTGTTTCTTCTGATTTTTACTCAAAAGTGGTCAGTGAGCAGTGAAATCAGGACTCAAACCCAGGACATCCCACCTCCAAAGTCCAAGCTGCCTCCAATAAGAATGGGTTGGTGGGTGTGAACTGGATGATGCACCTAACTTTTATTGCTGCCTAGATGAAATCTGTGCCCATAGGTGAACACTTTTACTTCCTCCTTTGTCCAATTGAAATATGTGCTGTTTAATAACCCACTTCCTTCTTTCTCCCACTTCAAACACTGGTACCACAGACTCATCTCTCACACACACAAATATGCCCTCCTGACAATTTCCCCTTACCTACTGAAACAGTTTTCTGCTTTCAGCTCCTCAGGTCATGTCCTGTGTATTTGTCCCATTTCCCCAACCAGATGATAAGGTCCTGCGGTGGGGATTAAACCTTTCACAGCTTTCTTCCCAAGCTCACTCACACTTCAGTCTTTCCACTTAGCAGGCCTTTGTGATATTCACTGGCTGCCTGGCAGGAAATCTTCCCTCTGCCCTGCCATGTCCATTCAGCCTGTAATCCTGTTATAATATTTCATGTATCATTCCAACCTCTTTTTATCACATTCCTGACTATCTTTCCCGCATGTGCAACTCGGTGAAAGGCATGTCACTTTGTTTGGAAACTGCTTATGATAAAATTTCTGTAACAGTTTACGACTGAAATTTTTATTGCTGTTTAGTCCCTAAGTCATGTCTGACTCTTTGCGACCCCATGGACGGTAGCCTGCCAGGCTCCTCTGTCCATGGGATTTCCCAGGCAAGAATACTGGAGTGGGTTGCTATTTCCTCATCCAGGGAGGGGATCTTCCCGACACAGGGATCAAACTCAGAGCTCCAGTATCGCCTGTATTGCAGGCAGATTCTTTACCACTGAGCCACCTGGGAAGCCCACAGCTACAATTACAGTAACACTTTATCATTCTTAACCATTCTTTGGAGAATCAATAGCTCCTTACAACTAGGATGAGTGAATGAGTGAATGGATAATTCTTTTCTAAGAATCCCAAATCTCTCAGCACTTCCCTCGTGGCTCAGTGGTAAAGAGTCAGCCTGCAACGCAGGAGACACTGGAGACCTGAGTTCGATCCCTAGGTCAGGAAGATCCCCTGGAGGAGTAAATAGCAACCCACTCCAGTATTCTTGCCTGGAGAATCCCATGGACAGAGGAGCCTGGTGGGCTACAGTCCACCAGAGAGTTGAACAGGACTGGGTGACTAAGCACACAGCATGCAAGTCTCTCATCAACAACACGGCCATGTTAATGAGACCAGAATGTATTAGGTGAGCTGCTACTAAAAGGTGGAGTTAGGAATTCTTCAGAGATGCTCTCTCCTTCCTCCATTCCAAAGCCGAGAAGCCCTTGGGTTGATGTCTCGAAAAGCTACCCCTCTCCGACAGACTCACACAGTGTGGCCTAAGCTGAGCGTAGAGACCTGCCAGGCCCCTGCCCTGGTCCCCCACCCCATCCTCTTGCTTCCCTGGGGCTCCCTGTCAGAGGAACTGAATGGGCACGGTGCCAGGCCAGATGGCAGAGATGAGAAAAACTGCCAAAAAGGAGGCAAACAGGAAATGGAAGGAGGGCTCTAGATGTGGGGGAGGGGCAGCAAGTCCCTCTCCTCTGTCCTGCCATC